AAAATTCAGGAAGCTATACAGGAAAGAAAGGTTAGCCTTGAAATTGAAAAATTCAAGATGGGGGGGATTGAGAGAACATCTTGGGAAGAAAAAAAATTGTCCGTGTGGAACTTCCTCCTTACTAATGAAATACAAAGGGAATGAGGATGATTCATACATACGTACGTGACAGGGCGGGTATCCCAGTTGTATAGATCACGGACGGTGAGACTAAGGAATTTTCCTCAGAGGACATTTCCTGGAAATAGCGATAGAGCAGTGAAAGACTCGCAACGTTTCTTCTGTGGGAAGAGGGAAAAAAATCCCCCCCACAAGGCAGGGTAGACGCTTTTGAACTCTATAAAAACTGGTAAAGGCACAGTATTAGCAGGTGGAGAGCCAGATACATTCTGGAGTAGTACAATCGACCAACCATTTTTCCAGCATTTTTAGCAATAGATCAGGGTAAATTTGCAGATTAAACCCCGGAAACCAACCTTAATAAAAAAATCTCCAGAAAATTTCCATGTTGGTGTAAATATGCATGCTTATTTCGAAACTAACAGCAAAAGTTTGCAGAAATCTACCGTTTAGGAGTAATCGACAAGTTCAGCATTATTCGCAATGCGGCTACAGCCCAACAGCCATTTCTGGCTTTGTTTACATACGTTTGCCGCGAGTAGTCATGCGCGGAAGCATACTTGTCTTGATTATTGCGCACGCAATGCGCAAACTTTAAAATAAATGCGTGAAATTTAAAAGGTAACCCAAATTTTGTGTTATTTATATTTGGGGTTTTAAAAAGCATGATTATTTTTTAAAAAATCAACACAAACAATTTTAAGCAATATTATTTATGCATGTTTATTTATAAAACTGCAATGGATGTTTGGGAAAGGCAGCCTTTTAAAATTTGTTTTCTTATTTTAAAAAAGAATTCATTATTATTACCTCTTCACTATAAAAACAACAACTCTTCTCATTGCTTTTCTAAATAATTTAAACAAATTTAAGAAAAAGAATTCAATAAAAGTTTCACTTTCGAAAGAGTCTAAAGACTTCTTTTGGGTTTGTGCAGTAATTGAGACATGTAATAAGATTTGAAGGTCGTGAACACTAGAATCAAGCAGACGCGGAAGTTTAAATATCTGGAAAGCATCTAGACAGAGGGCATTAAGTACGATACTGAGATCTGTTGTCGTATTGGGATGGCCAAGGACACATTCCAAAATTTGGGCAGAGTACTACGAAACATGAGGATTTCTTTGGTAACAAAGAAAAGAATACTGAGCCGTTACGTGACATCTGTCCTTCTTTACGGCAGCAAATGTTGGACGATTTCCTCAAAGATGAAAAAGAGACTCGAGGCGACAGAGATGTGGTTCTACAGAAGGATATCATGGACGTAGCGTGTGAGCAACGCTGAGATCTTAGAGAGGATGCACACAAGAAGCAGGCTTATACTTAATATCAGGAAGAGGCAGATTAAGTTTCTGGGACACATAATGAGGAAGGGGGACCTGGAGAATCTGATACTCACGGGTTGAACAGAAAGAGAGACAAGGGAAAACAACGTGTGACATACCTGGGGTGTGCTTAAGCAAGTGGATGACAAAACGTGGTCTGGGGGAGGAAGCAGAGGGAAGGAACTTATTGAGAGCTACAAGGGATAGAGGTAGAGGTGGAGAGCCTCCTACGTCCTGAGAGGACATGGCACATAAAAAAAGGAAAGAATAATATATGCATTGAGCACATTTTGTGGATCAGTTTTAATATTTTATATTACTAGGATCCACTTGGATTATATACCAATCGATTTTTTATCTTTACTATATATATATATATATATATATATATATATATATATATATATATATATATATATATATATATATATATGTAAGCAAATGTATGGATATAGATCCGACAGTATGAAGAAAAATATATACGGAAAAAAAAACAAACAAGAATCCTTATATACAATTATGCTGTTTTAATGTTAATATGTCAACGTCGGACGTTTCAGTCTAATAAACCATCTTCAGGACATATTCATAAATTATAACATTATCAATACAACATGACAAAGACTATGTACATAAGAACAAGACTTATCCAAACAAATAACTGAAAGTTTTCTTATGTACATCGTCTTTCATATATATATATATATATATATATATATATATATATATATATATATATATATATATATATATATATATGTGAGTTTGAACATCATCAGACAAACGTTTTAAAAATTTGGGTTTATGTAGTGGATACCAGTTATTTGAATAGAAGCCCCATATATATATTTGTTTATTTTTACTACTGTGCATATATATATATATATATATATATATATATATATTTATCATACGTTTGTTGGAACTGCCCCATTTTTTTACTACTGTGCATTAATATTTACATTGTTGGAACTGCTGTTCTCATCTTTATGTTCTGGGGGGGGGAAGCAGAAGGCGGGAACTTGTTGAGAGCTACAAGGTATAGAGAGAGGTGGAGAGCTATGACCACCTACGTCCTGAAAGGACATGGCACATAAAAAGAAAGAAAAAGAAGATAGAAAGATGAGTAAAAAGACCGTTAACTAAGTAAGCCTCCGTGAATGATTTAGGGGCTTAATCCAATCGGGTATATGAATTCCACTTGAAGTCTGGGGTGAGTTTGAGCCACAAAAGACGTTTAAAGAACGACGCTTCAATGTTTATTTTATCATTTCACAACAAGAAAAAATTGTAAAAGTCAGGAGAGGTGGGACTAACGAATATAGTTCGTCAGAAGACATTTCATGGAAATAGCGATAGATAATCAAGAGACTCGCGCCATAGTGTCTGTGGGAAAGGGTTATAGATGTAAAAGAAAATCAACCCTAATAAGGCTGTGTTAACGCTTTTGAAATTAAATAAAGAGCTAGTGATTCCCAATGTGGTCTAGGTGGACCACCGGTGGTCCACATAGCATTTCTAGTGGTCCACAGATAAGTCGTAGTTATAAATAAAATTACAGCCATTTCAAAAAAATGTATCGAAATTATTCATACTTAAAAGATATAACATTTAGTTTAATTACACTCGTCTATTGTATTGGTAGGTATTATGCAGTGTTATATTTATTTTACTTTTATCATATATATAATAAATATAAATTTTTATTTATATAAAAATTGATCTATTAAAGATGGATTATCCACACTAGTTTGTAGACCCAGAAAATTATGAGCCAGTAGATGAAAATTTTGAGTTGGCTGAAATGTTGCTGGACTTGAAAGAGAATGCGAAACTGAAAAGAGTTGACAAAGAAAGTGTCTTTGCCTACAAATCGATAAAGGACTGGCACCCAAATATTTTTCAACATGTCGAAGCAAACATAATTTCTTTTCCCTACCACATGGAGGGTGGAATATGGATTTTCGGCTGCTGTGGATCTTTTTCAATTGAAAAAGAAATAAATTAGATCTCAACAGCAGAGGAACTATCAGACTAAGACTGAATGACACCAACAAAAATGATTATGATATCTTGGGTCAGGAATACCAAGATCATGGTAATCACTAGCTGAATAGACTAAGACTAAATGACATCATCAAAATTGATTATGATATATACCAAGATCAAACATGTCACTTATGAATGGACTAAGATCTGGAATGACACATCAAAATTGATTCATCAAAATTGATTATGAATGAGAAACACCAAGATCATGGTAATCACTAGCTGAATAGACTAAGACTAAATGACATCATCAAAATTGATTATGATATGTTGTGTGAGAAACACCAAGATCATGGTAATCACTAGCTGACTAAATAAAGACTAAGATACTAAATGACATCATAGCTGAATAGAAAATTGATTCAAAATTGATTATGATATGTTGTGTGAGAAACACCAAGATCATGGTAATCACTAGCTGAATAAAGATCATCAAAATTGACTAAATGACATCATCAAAATTGATTCAAAATTGATTATGATATGTTGTGTGAGAAACACCAAGATCATGGTAATCACTAGCTGAATAGACTAAGACTAAATGACATCATCAAAATTGATTATGATATGTTGTGTGAGAAACACCAAGATCATGGTAATCACTAGCTGAATAGACTAAGACTAAATGACATCATCAAAGCTGAATGGAACACCAAGAAGACTAGCTGAATGACTAAGACTAAATCATCATCAAAAATTGATATTATGATATCATGGTAATCACTCCTGAATGTTTACTCAAAAATGAATTTTCATGGTAATCACTAGCTGAAATAAGACGGACATCATCTTTGTGTGAGAAACACCAAGATTTTCATTGACATCATCAAAATTGATTATGATATGTTGTGTGAGAAACACCAAGATTTTGGTGGGGAAATTGAACAGCCTAAAAGTGAAAAAGAGGATGACATGGTCAAAAGTTGATATTTTTTGGTACTAAAATGAATTTTAAAAAAAAAATTGTCTTTCCATGGGCTGAAAAAGTTAAAAGTAAAAAAGCACTGGTATAGATTTTTCTTAAGTTGCTAGATGAAAATAATAGTTATTCTTTCAAAAGGTTATCTTTTTCACGTTATCAGTCCGGACCTGGTGTTTCGGCTTCAGTCACTTTATCACCGTCATAACCGTTTGCTTCCTTTTGCCTTTTCTATAAATATTTTCACCATAAATGCTTTGATGAGCTTTTCATTTTTCGTACCTCGATATCATGAACTACTAGATTGGCAGCGAGGGTCTCATCATTTTCACTGTTACAATTGCTAGTTGCAACCGTGGGTTCGGTGCTAATAGATTATTCTCCCGCAATTAACGCTTGTGGAACTGTCTTCCGGCTTTCTGCCAAATAAGATCTTCAAATCTGTAAATGTAATATCAAACTTCATCTTCTGTCTTGTGGATATCTGATCTTTATTGTCCTCTCTAAACCTATATATATATATATATAAGTGTGCAGCTCGCAAAATTATGGAAAATAAAAGTATCACACATTCAAAAAAATCCACATTACAACCAAAAACGTTTGCAGTTTCTCCTTTTAATATACACACTACTATGACCTCTTTCTATATATATATATATATATATATATATATATATATATATATATATATATATATATAAGAAATATAGTCTTAAGGTGTGCTATATTTATGGGATAAAATGCTCAATATCAGAGATAGAGCGTGTGTAAATATAAAAGTGAACATAGAAGTCAACACTTAGAGGCGTCAGGCCTGACGATTGCATCTAGCATGAAACAGACTGTCGCCTCTAAGTGTTGACTTCAATGTTCACTTTCAATATTCAATGTTTTGTTAGATAGATAGATAGATAGATAGATATGAATAGACTGAGATAGATAAGAACAGACTGAGATAGATAGATAGATAGATAGATAGATAGATAGATAGATAGATAGATATGAATAGACTGAGATAGATAAGAACAGACTGAGATAGATAGATAGATAGATAGATAGATAGATAGATAGATAGATATGAAAAGACTGAGATAGATAAGAACAGACTGAGATAGATAGATAGATAGATAGATAGATATGAATAGACTGAGATAGATAAGAACAGACTGAGATAGATAGATATGAAAAGACTGAGATAGATAAGAATAGATAGATAGATAGATAGATAGATAGATAGATAGATAGATAGATATGGCGAAAGTGAAAAATAATAAACAATAGTGAAACGAAATGAAAAGTCACAAAAATCAGTCTACGCCCTTTTAAACAATAGGAAAGAGAAATAAAAAAAACACGCGCCAAATGCAAAACAAACAAACAAACAAACAAACAACAAAGAGCACCAGAGATTGTTTTATTCCTCCATTTGTCCGTCTTTGTAATTGGCGCCTTGACTTGATGTATATCTTTTATTTCGAGCCAATCAGCGACTTCTAATGAGCCTCGGTTTGATATCAGAAGGAAACGAAGCGAACATGAGATGGCCACTGTCTAATGTACAAAGAGGTTTCTAACAGACCGGGTGTTGACATAGTGGACACGCAGTGATAAGGAGAACACGGTCACTGCCCATCCAAGGAGCAGCCTCAGGCAGCCTACTCGACAGGAAATCAAACCATCACATAAATGATCTCTTTATCTTAATAATACTCACACACACACGCGCGCATATATATGTATATATATACATACATATATATATATATATATATATATATATATATATATATAGATAGATAGATAGATAGATAGATAGATAGATAGATAGATGTTTGTGTGTGTTTGCGTAAAGGTTATTTCATGTATCAAACTAAAGACAATGTCTCCGCCATATTAATATTATACGAGAAATACCTATGGAAATTTCATGATTTCCCTATTTGAATTATCAGATGAATCTTTATTAATTATTTTATAAGCGCATAGCAATTCCTACGACGATAATTATCCGTAGAAATTCTTCTAATTCGTCGTTAAATATTTGAGCTCAACAGTTTTAACAAAAGACTCCAATAACAAACCCAAATATGAATATTTCCTTTTTTCTCACTGGAACCAAGTAGCGTCTCTAATATGTCTTTTCTGCCTTTCCACATGACCAGAACGGAACAGTACATTATTCATAAGGTATTGGCACGGCGTATCGTACGAGTTTCAAAAGTAAGGAACTAAGGAAGGGTCAAGCAGAATTATATGAAATATCATATCATTGTCAGTATTATTCAGGTTTTTCTTTTGAACTCAGACCTACCCTAATGCATCAACCTCAGACGAGATTAGAGGGTTTACAAGCCCGCATCCCCAGTTAGTTAGGAACTCCAAAATATTCTGTATATTATACGCCTAGCGACAATTAAAAGATTTCCGTTTCCTAGACTCGTTGATAACCCCGAATAAACAAGCCCTGTTATTTAATCTATAGCTGGAGGGGCGAAGTCCTAATATCATTTATGCGACAGTGAATGTAATGAATTTGATTGCAGTTCGAACTCGGCTCGCTAATTTCTTGTCAGTTTTGCATCCAGTACAATGGGTGATAGAGTTCATGAGGTTTTACTATCGTTGTGTTTCAAGACCGGAGAGGTATTTTTTTTTCCAGATTTCAAAGAAATGGAAGATAAAGAAACAATGTCTCACCGTAATGCACAAAAAAGGTTCAAATGTTTTAAGAATGGCGAGTTGCCTCTTGAAATAATGTTGCCAAAATAGACGTTCATCTGTAGCCGATTATAATAATTTAAATCTTAAGTTGGAGAAGAATATAAACGTACAAAATGATCATTGTGTTACAAGAAGATCTTATAGCATTTTTCAATAGGTGATAATTGAAAAAGTGATTTCGTTTCAAACGTGACTGAAATTTATATCAAATACACATATGTTGAAAAAGGACATTTCAAATGATCTTTTTAAACAATTCGTGTATTGGTTATGAATTTTAATGTTTTTTTTTTTACGTTAAAAGTGAAAATGGAAGATCCTGATATGAATTTCTGTTATTCGATTTCTGGATAAAAATGATAAAAGCTGTTCAACCATCAAAAATTCATCAAGGAAAACGCTGTAGTTTTTGTTGACCCAATTACTTTTGATCTTTTCCAAGATCATCTTCATGGGTAGGCATATCAAAGACTTAGCGAAACCTCTATTTGTTATATAGACTGCGAGGTATAAATTGTCGTCTAAATGACGCAAAAATAAAAATCACACTATTATCTCATTTAAACAGATCAATCAGTTATGTGCCATGCGTGATACACGTTTAGGCGATCATGTATCTTTCGATACATGACTAACGATGCAGTTTTTTTTTTGTTTTTTTTTTCCCGAAGTAGTTGCCATTTCTTTCTACGATAAATCAGTTGCCATCCTATAGAGCCCGGTCTGTCCTGCTATTTACATCATAGCTGGGGTGGGGGAGAGGATTCCTACTTTTCCCAAGGATATGAGCACGTAAGTGAATGTAATGGATTCAAAATGATAAAATGGCGACAATTTGCCCATTGCATCCTGTAGGTGCATCCTGCATTCAATATCCTTGATGGTTTGCATTTGCTACCGGCGACAAAGCCGCATCCTGTCATCATTTCTCTTATAATTCATCATTCAAATGCACTGCTTGATTTATGCTATTCAAACGAATTAAATTCTTTAGTTCTACCAGTTCTAAGGATCACGGCTAAGACACATTCGAAAGAAACCAGGTTCAATCCTTTCGTATTCCATTGGTGAGATGTAAGTTCCATTCGGGTAAATTCTTCCCACAAACCAACTCCCAAGAGAATGCTTCCTCGATCGCTACAATCTTAACCTGTACAATCCCAGGTTTAACCGTTATCTTCCCCCATATATCCGTGCCTCTTACTCTGTAACTTGAAAGCTAGAGTGTTTCTTGGACATTGAACAGGGTGAACATGATCATAAAAAGATAAAAAAAATTCTTTATTCTTTTGTGTTTTTTTCATACATTAATTTCCTCTTTTTTTTACTGTCATTTTTTTTTTAAATTATTACCATTTTCCCTTTTAAAATGGGGAAGTCGTTGATTTGGGATGCGACCTGTGCGGATACATTTTCGGCCGGTAATTTGATCAGGTCCGCGGTTGAGCCAGGATCCGTCGCCCCTGACGCACAGATAAAAAAAAATAGTTAAATATTCTTCTCTTGCTGATAGATTTTTTTTTTTACTCCTGTGGCAGTGGAGACTTGTGGGGTTATTGGCCCTCGTTCGATGGCGTTCCTTCGGAGGATTGGCGGGATGACGTCTCGATTAAGGGACGAGCCTCGCGAAACGGAATAGCTCTTGCAGTGTGTCTCACTGGACATGGTTCGAGGTAATGCTTTCTCCATCATTGCAGCTGGCAGAGGATAACGAAAAAAACATTTTGTTCATAGTTACTTTGTTCAAACTTTTTTAAATAAATAATTGTTAAATATCTTGACACATATATATTCAATTAACGAATGGATATAGATGCATACGTAAACCAACTAATTAGTTATTAGTGAAATTTGAAACACTAATCAAGTGTCCGTGTTAAGAAATGCCAGTCTTTTTCAGTGATTTTGAAGAAAACCAAAAGCAAACGGAAATGACAATTCACTTTAAGATGCTAAATTATTAGAAGCACCAAGATATCATTCATCAGAATTAATCAATCCTTTGTAATTAATCCTTTTTAATTAATCCTTTTGAATTTTTTTCTTTTTTTGTACAGCGGGTAATAGATTAATTTGTGTCTGAATTACGCAGACATGAAAATCAGTGACATTTCATTTTAACGGATGCATATAGAAAAAATAAATAAACATATCTTGAAATACTAAAGAAAAAATTATTCAATAAGATACCGTTGACTTCAACTACCGCCTCCAGACGACTTTGTAATCTCCTGCAACTCTTCTGGGAGGTCTCCTTGTTTAAAATGGTGAATGCTGCCATAATCCTTGCCTTCAGTTCATCTTTGGTGTTACAAGGAGTTTTGTTAGTCTCTTGCTCAACTGTCCCACCACCCCCAGATAATAACCAATGGTTTTGCAGACTTGGGATTTAGGTGCCCAAATATGGTGTGATGGGATCGGAGAAGTTGTCTGACAGCCATTAATCCGTTCTCCTGCTTATGTGGCATGGTGCCGAGTTCTGTTGCCAGACATAAGGTCTTCTAGCACTCACTGTCTTGACCCAGGCTTGCACTACCTTCTCAGTGCACTTGATGTAGGCCACCGTGTTGAGTCTGAGGCTCTGTGATGAAGATGAATGGAGGGCATAATGTCACCATCACTAGCGATCACTCCAAACACCAAGATATTGACTGGATATATTATTCAACTCTTTCCGAATTCTTTGCACTGTGTTAAGATTGACTCCCCAAAACTCTGTAATTGGAGCTTCCGGCTCAAATGCCAAGCGGTACAGCATGCCGTTTCCAAATTTCTGGCAGATTGAATTGCGTCATGGTGATTCTTTTTCTCACAGACCCTTCTATTCTGTGAAGTCGGCAAAAAAAAAAAAAAACCTACATGAGCTAAAAATGGAGTATTATTTACCTACCTTGGGGCACACTTGGCTTTGGCTTTTATTTTCGCGTTTAACCCCAGAAGGAGTCGTTGAGGGGGTGATGCGGCGTGTCTTGGGCGTTTTCACCTGGTGGAGCCCATCCCTCTCCAGGAAAAAAAAATGGGATGCTTTACGATTTTGCGTGTCATCCTTATGCACTATATGCACCAATACTTTGTATTTTGTCCTTCCGAAAAGTACGGTTGATGTTGTGAAAGCTTCACCAAAATCATATATGCTAGAATTCTAACTGTTTGATTCTGAAAACTGAATTACTGGACGGCCATACGTTCAAGAACGATTATGGAGTTCATTACATATACATACATATACACACACATGCACACACATACGTGTGTGTGTCTATGTATATATATATATATATATATATATACAGTATAATTATTCGTGTCAAATAATATTAACCACTGAATCCAATTCTTTCCGAATTCTCTGCACTGTTCTCAGACTGACACTGTAAAACTCTATAAATGTTTGTATTGGAACTTCCGACGCAAATGTCAAGCAGTACAGCATGCCGTTTCCAAATTTCTGGAGGAGTGAATTGCATCATGGTGCTCTTTTTTCTCACAGGGGGTGCCCAACTGACTCTACTATTCTGTGAAGTTGACAAAACAAAAAACATAAAATGCGCATGCGCAAAATTAAAAATATAAATGGCGACAATTTACTCATGGTACCCTGTAAATTGTTTGCCGTGTTTTTTTTGTTTTGTTTTTTTCATATTCATTTTAAACATCTACAAGTTTCGATTATATTCACCCATCTTTTTTTATCTCATTCTCTGCCCACCAATACTAAATTTTCTAGGCAGTTTTTTTCTCAATCTCTAAAACGAACAATTCCATTGGTTGCCCTCGACAATTTCCCACTTTACAAACGGCCTCTTAGACGCTTTCGTCCTATGTCCAAGAATCCTTTATCGATTAACCGCTTCTAGTTGTGGACACTATCGAACAAAAATAGATGTTGATTGGCGACAACGCAAATTACTT